CATTATAGAAACTAAAGGAGTGTAATAAATAAAAGTGTAGGAAATAAAACTCTTTCAAGACTTCAGGATTCTCTGAGCTCACAGAAATGAAAATTTCATGACACTCACCTGTGTTTCTCACCTTGGGCCAGGTAATCAATTTCCATAAGTATCTGGCTTTTCCCATATCCTGATAATCCTTCATACATTAGAACTCGGCTACAGTTACACATTAAATAGTCCTTCATAGTACTCATGAAGTATCTGATCTCCTTATCACGTCCTGTTATTTTTCGTTTTTTAAAAAGGGAGCAAACCAAATCAACATAAAAGAATCCAGAGTTACTTAACACAAAAGCACACAGTGACATCCTTTTAAAATTATACTTGGGATTTCTATAATTTGCATGATATTCATCAAGATTGTAGGCACTTTACATTTAAAAGCATTTTCTGTAGAGTTTTTTACTTGATAATAATGCTGTTTAGTAGCTTTATTTGAAACTCATAAGCTGTGAGTGCAAGTGCTATTATAATTCATTGTAATAGTCATTTGGAAGCAGGAGTGTCATCTACTTCCTAAACAACAAGCCTCTGGAATCTCTGAACTTTGAAAAATGATGATAGTTAGAGAAAGGCTTCAGGCCTTTTGTTCATAGGGTCACTATGAGTTGGGCTCGACTCAACAACAACATAATAGTCAAATCAATACTGTATGAAAAACCAAGATTTGTTCAGATTGCAGAACCAATAATTAAATCAAGGCTATCTGACCCCACAACTTTTTATCTTTCCCTAAAACAGAGAAATCTGTAGATGATTATATTTTGAGATAACTTTGAAAAAAACTTTATCTACACTGGATAGTTATGCATAAACTATTTTTTATCCAGTTATGCAACGAAGGAAACCTACGCTGAGTACATGAAAAATCACACCTATCTTGAGACTACTGGATGCATTTTCAGTGATTAGGTAATTTGATTGCCTTTAAAAATGATATATAAGTTGTTTCAATACTAAGAACCCCTTACATTCCTAGTAACATTAAATCATCTTCTTCATCCTGTGATTATAAAAGTAACATTTGCTCACTGTAGAAAATATGGAAATTTTAAAAAAAGAAATAAAAATAACCTTAACTTTATTTCTGGCATTTTTCTGATATCATTTTAAATATATGTAAAAGATGTCCTGCCTAAAATCTGACACTAAACTCTACAGCATTGGAAATCAGGATGGACAGGAAAGAATCTGGAAGAACTGTCGTTTCATAGCAAGGAGCAATTCTGTCAAAAGAGTTAGAGACTCATATGGGAATACTGAAGAGGGCCACTCTTGCAATACACTGATAGAGAAATTACATACCAAGGTATTATTTAATGTTTTTGTTGAAAACAAGGACCATTAAGGTGTGGGTTCTGATAACAAGAAGACATGATAGTTTCTGAAAAGTGGAATATGACATAGCAATTAAAAGTAAATTCATTGTATCTGTATACAATTTGGATAAATCTTTTATCAAAGTGTTCACCTATTTAGAATAGGTAGTGTTTAATCTACATAAGTTGTAAAAACAGAGATGCCTATTCTAGAGTGTTGAAAGTCTTTTGGAGAGAGAGGAAAGAGAAAATGGGAATTTGGGGGTATTGATTTTTTCCCCCTTGACTTGGATAGTTAGTATATTCACTTGGTGAGAATTTATTAAGCTGTACACTTATCTTTGTGTACTTTTCTGTAAGTTTTGTTATAGTCAAATAAAGAAATTTTAAAAAATCAAGGCCCCACTACCTACCCAGCAAAGGGTAACCCTCATTCCTGTTGCAGATGAGGTATGCCATACCAAACATGCTGAAGAGAAGAAAAAAAATAAGATGTTAGGTCCAAAACAAGGAAATATTAATAGTAAGATTTACGTTACCAGAAAGCCACCTTTTACTCTCTAATCTGTTGTCTTCTAACTCAAAAGATTACAAAGGTCAAGAGAAAGGAAGAGGAGGAGAAGCTTATACTTGGTAATAGAGAGTTCAAACAATTTATATAATGGCCCTACCACAGCACCCTCCACATGGTATATAACATATCAAGGCCTTCCAGGTATAGCCTATTTTTCAGATGTTGATCTTCCCTATTATATTGTAAACTTTCAGAACAGGAACCAGACTTTGTTCATTTTTGTACTTCCATCTTTATTCTCTTACCTGTAGAGATGGTTTGAGAAATCATGTATAGCACTTATTGAGATTAGTCTTGGTTCAGTAGATGGACTGCAGCAATGGCCCTACATCCTCAGCCCTACTTTATCTTCACCTTTGCCAGGTAACTGGGAGGTATCCTCCAACTCTGGGTTCAGTCTTTGACCAATAGGGTATAGCAAGCATGACAGAGGCTTGGGAAAAAATGCTTATACATTGAGTCTTGAATCTTTTGCTCTTCTGATTTTGCCAGGGAAGCAACATGCTTGGGTTTGCTTGCTTGAGGATAAGTCTTGGAGAGTCCAGCTGTGACCCAAACTGTTCCAGTTATTCCAGCTACGGTAGTTAGTTCTAGTCCAGACAACAACTCTACAGCATGGGAATGAATCCAGCCGAGATCAGCAAAATCTAGTCAAGATAATCGATCACCACACGTCCATGAGATAAGTCAATTACATTATTTTTTTATACCACTGAAGTGTTTGTGGCTGCTATAATGCAGCAAGGTCCTAGCATCTTGAGTCTTGGTTCCACTGCTTGCTAGAAGTGTAGACAAGTTATTTAACATCTAATTTTTTATGGTCCACGGTACATATAGTCATCACATACATTTTCTGCCTCTCAAATTTAGGGGAAATCGCTGTCCCACTTTTAGTGTGTGATGTCGTCTGCTCACCCTCATCCAATCAACCTAGCACCAAAAATTCTTCAGGACATATGTGTCCCGTTAAATGTTTAAAAATCCATATTACTGGGGAGCTCTGGTGGCCTAGTGGCAAGAAGCTGCACTGCAATCCCAGAGGCACATGGTTCGAATCCACCAGATGCTCTGCCGGGGAAGGAGGGACAATCTCCTCCTGTACCAGTCAGATCTGATTTGATGTTACATGCACAAAAACAAATGATAAAATAAAAATTTTTTAAAAATCCATATTACCTCAATTTTTCCCCCACTTCATTCAAAATGCTTTCCACTACTGAAAACATACGATTTCAACACAAAACTTGAAAGCGGAAAATAATTCAGTCTTGAAAAAAATTAAATTTATAAAATTGAGATAATAATTTCTACCTCATTTGATATTAAGAGTAGACACTTCAGTGCAAGTCCTTAACATTCAATAAGAGCATATAAAATTACTAATATTATTCAACGATTTATGCAAAAAAATATTTATTGGTGACCTACTTATGCCAAAAACCAATTTCTAAACCCTGGGAACGCAGGGACAGACACATAAGACTCTTTGAAGACTCTTTGAACCATCTGTCGCCCCTGTGTTCTGTTATCTGAACCTTTATAATCAAGAGTTTAGCTTGCTCATATGAAGAGTAATGTCTCTATGCTTTCTAAGCTAATTATTAATTCACTCATCATTATTGAAAGAGCTTTGGTGGCTTAGTGATAAGGATTATACTGCCAACACTAAGGTATGTGGTTCAAATCTACTAACTACTTTGTGGGAGAAAGATAGACAATCTCCTCTCGTGTGATCTACTGCCTTTGAAAAACTGCCAGAGGGTCAGCTATGGGTTGGTTCTAACATGATGGTACACAACAACAACGACACTATTACTGAATGCCTACTATGTGTCAAGTATTGGGATGTAAGGACATAGCCACTGTCCTCAAAAAATTCCAAGTGTAGGAAGAGAAAAGCTTGTCAAGTTAATAGTTGTGCTCTAGTGTAATAAGTGTTATCATGGAGGCATACTCCATAGAACTACTCAGAAAGGGAAAGAGAGAAACTATTGGAGATAGTATGGAGTAGTATCAGAGAGAACCTAAGAAATAAAATCCAGGTCTTTAAGCTGAATTTTCAAAACGGACTGTGTTGTACTCAAACCAATAAAACATTTTTCTCCCCATTCATTCATTGTTGCACTTTTCTCCCCTCCCAACCCTTCCCCCTAGCACACTACCCTCTTGGAAAAGTAAAAGACATGTTCTTTCATTGTTTTACAAACCCTCCCCCAGGTCCACTCTACCATGTAGCCTTCGCTCTAGACTCATGACTCCTGTCATGACAAAAATATCTAATCACATATCCCTTTTAAACAGTTTTCTCCCTCATCTGTTTCAATGCAGTGTATATTATTGAACCCATCTTTCTCAGTCTCTCCCCAAGCCCAAGTTCAGTCCTCTTTTACAACAGTGGCACCATGCAGTATTTATCCTAATAAAACATTGAAAACACATCTGACTGTGGTTTCCTAGGAGACTTAGGGGTAGGTTAGGTGGAGAACAAACCACTTACAGGAGACAGGGCACAGGAGGAGGTGACTTTGGAAAGGCAGGTGGTTACTTTGTATGCCATTGCAAGGAGCTTAAATATTAGCACAAAAATGACTGGATGCTACTAATAAATTTTAAACCCCAAATGACACTCATAAACCTAAGCAAGGTACTTTAGGAATATTTTTCACTAAAGACCAAGAGTAGCAAGAGTGTCTCACACCCCTTTACACCTATCAATACCTGGGACACAACTGTTATTATGAGCTAATGTTTAATGGTGGGTTACCAAGTCCAAGTAAATGGACAAACGGGAGATGCTCTATTTTGTTTTCACAGACTTTGAAGAATCATCCTCAGCTTCATGAACTGAGGGTAGAATAGGGTCTTTTGTCATACTTCAACTATCAGTAGGATGGAGAAAAGATGGAGGATTGTGAACTCTGAGCCTTGGTCTTGTTGTTAATGTGCCGTCGAGTTGCCTGCCATCCATAACAACCCTATGTACAACAGCTCTGAAGCCTGCCCTGTCCTGATCCAGTCTCACTGACTCCAACACACCTAACTCCATTGACCCAGTTACTGTACCAATCCGTCTCATCTGGGGTCTTCCTCTCCTGCTCTGTCTCTCTACCCTTCCAAGTATGATGTCCTTCTCCAAGGATTGTTCCTGTTGGACACATGCCCAAAGTTTGTGACACAGAGCTTCAAACTCTTAGCCTCCATGGAGAAACTTAGTTTCTCCCTTTCCAAGACAGACCTATTTGTTTTCTTGGTGGTCTAAATAGACTTAAGTGTCAAAAGTTGGTCTCGATTCTGAAGTGGGTGGCTATTTGCTTTGCTATGCTACTTGGCCCATTCCATCTTTATTAGGAATATTGCAGTTGTTGTTCCACACTCACACTTTCTCATTAAGGCCCAAACACTGATAGACTGGTCCAGAATCTGCGACACCTTTCATAACTTTCTTTGGAAGCTCTTTAAAAAAGTAGGCAGGTAGGTTGCTGCCATTGTAAGTGACAGAGTCGCAGGTCACGATTCCTGGGTAATACATCATCATCCTGGCTGCTATGTTGACCTTTTGACCAATGACTAGAACAGGAGAGAGAAAGGTGAAACAGAGAGAAAAGAACCAATGAAAAGGGCTGAATGTAATAATATTAGTCATCCTGTCCCCACATGACATTTTTATCCTTTCACTCCATTCACTTTGTGAGACACACAAATATTTAGTCTTTAACCGCCCACACTCAGCCAACAGTTATTACAAAATATGCAGAGGGTTAACTCAGTTTCTCCTTCACATAGGAGGCCAAGGGGATGATTTATTCAGTAACAGAAAGGTCTTCAATATGGAGAGATTTCTCAGGTTGGATCTCTATAACTGTGAGATGAAGGGCCTTTACAGTGATTTCTTGTTAACATTATACACTTATTCCACTTGGTCCTTGGAGTATATTAGAAATTCTTAGTATTGGTATGACTAAAAAGTATACTAGTATAAAGGGTTGTTGCTGTTACATGCTGTCAAGTCACCTGCATCTCAGCGACTCTGTGTACAACAGCCCTACACTCTGCTCTATCCTGTTACCACAGGAACCAGGAAAATGCTATATGGACCCTTCTGAGAATAGCACGGAGCGCAAACGACATTTCTTTTTATATTCATGTATAACCCTAGAAATATATACTTTACAAGCAACCCTAATAATACACACTTTACGAGCCCTAAACTGAATTTTAAAAGCTTCTGGCTTGCCTTTATCTGATAGATTTTAAACCTTCTGAGGGCAGGCTCCTTATTTTATACCCTTTTTTTTTTACATCCTCTCACTGAAGCCCTAAAGCTCTAGTGAGTTATGCCCTCAACCCAAAGGCACACAGTTCAAATCTACCAGCTGCTCCACTGGGGAAAGTTCAGCAATCTCTTTCTGTCCTATTTACAATCTCAAGCCTGCTGGAGGCTCAGCTATGAGCTGGTTCTCACATAACAATACAAAAAGCCCAGTGGTAAGACACTAGGTTTGAAAGAAAAGAGCAGATAAGCAGCTGAGCCCACCTGTGTACTCGTGTCTCACAGAGTGTCCGACAATTCCACAGAAGACTGTTCCACTGGCAACCCCGATGGACACGCTCCTGGCACCAGGGAGAAACAGAAAATTGTGGGAAAATGGAAGAAGACCAGGAACATACACAGAGTGGGAAAGGTGGGGTCATGAGGGGGAATGGCGAAGGAAGGGAGGGAAAGGATTTTCAAGAAATACTTCTCTCCATTTTGAAGTCGGTTTAAGGAAACTAAAAGGCCTTTAGATAAGAAGGCACAATTTGAGAACACTTCTTGTGACCCAGAACTAACTTCTTGGAGGGGACAACTACATGCGCTTTTCTGTAATTTTATTTTTTTTTTTCTTCTGTAATCTTAAGTGCTCATTTGAGCTACTCTACTGGAAAACAATCCCTTGTTATCCCAAATGAAGTTAAAAGCAAAGTGTTTGTGGTTGTAAACAATTTAACTTATTTTTACTATGGCTAGAAAGTTATTCTTTGTAAGAAAGTAAAATAAGATTTTCTTTTCAGCCCTGTCGGAGTTGGCTGCGCTGCGTTAATTTCTACACCAGGCTCTCATTTAAGAGACGATGATGTTGGGCACTGAAGGCGGAGAGGGGTTTGTGGTGAAGGTCCGGGGCTTGCCCTGGTCTTGTTCGGCCGATGAAGTGCAGCGTTTTTTCTCTGACTGCAAAATTCAAAATGGGGCCCAAGGTATTCGTTTCATCTACACAAGAGAAGGCAGACCGAATGGCGAGGCTTTTGTTGAACTTGAATCAGAAGATGAAGTCAAATTGGCCCTGAAAAAAGACAGAGAAACTATGGGACACAGATATGTTGAAGTATTCAAGTCAAACAACGTTGAAATGGATTGGGTGTTGAAGCATACTGGTCCAAATAGTCCCGACACGGCCAATGATGGCTTTGTGCGGCTTAGAGGACTCCCCTTTGGATGTAGCAAGGAAGAA